AGAGAAATTTGCTTTATGGTGGGAGGGGGGAGGATGGACAGTGGGGTAATGTGGATGTGGCTCATGTGGGGGAGGGATGTGTGGAGTGTGTACAGGCAGGTGCCAGGGTGTGAGTTCTGAGTATGAGCTTGTGCACTGTGTTCTGGGCGTGGGGAGAGGAGCAAGGCACGAGCCTCATCTGGACACAGCAGGTGCTCGGGGGAAAGTGTGGGAAGGTGAGCAGCAGCCTCTCACACTGGGACGGGGCATCTCTGAGACGGGTGGGTGGGGCCCTCTGTCCGTGACCCACTCTGTCTTGCTGCCTTTCCCTCCTGGTCTAACTCCCTGCTGTCCTTCTTCCTGGTCACCAAGCAGTTAAACACAGTCCACTCCCAGGTCAGTGAAGGCAGCCGCCCGGGAGCAAAGGCCAGCACACCGAGGCCAACAGAACCCAGGGGTGGCAAGAGGCCGGGTTGGTGGTGACGGCGCCCAGCAGCTGAACTAACCAACCAGTGGCTGACCCTCCTTCCAGCTCACAGAGAAAAGCTGTAGCGCATGTGGCTGTGTGACCGTGGTCATCTCTTTCTGAGGACAAAGCTCACTACGCATACAGCCCTCTCCAAGGACAGGTCCCTTGGGAAGGACAGAAGGAGAACCAGATGTGGCCAAGCCATGTAGTGCACAGTGCTGGTGTGTGAGAGTGTGTGTGTGTGACAGAGAGAGAGATGGAGCGACAGAGAGAGACATTGAGAGAGAGGTGGTGTGCATTGAGCCCACCAGGTGCCAGCCATGCAGAGCTGCCTTGTGTCAGGTTTGTGAGCTTGCACGTTTCTCACGTCCCACTCGGTCCCTCCATCAGGTCCTGCATTGACAGAACCAAACCAGTGAGCAGGGAGAGCACCAGGCAGAGGGGTCAGGCAGGTGGAGGATGCCCTGTGCCACTGCTGCTGCGCCCGCGGGCTGTGAGCTCCCAGGGGAGAGGGCCTCGCCTGTCTTCTCTGTGGAATCTCACAGGGACCAGGAGTGTGCCCGGGATCTCGGAGGTGTTCAGTAACTCTTGGCTGAGTGTGTGTGTTGGCAGGGCCACAGAATATGAGCAGGGAAGAGGGGGCTTCCACCAGCAGCACCCCCATAGGGTTGGACAGTGGCACAGCTGAGTGTCTACCCACAAGGCCTTGAAGAGGAGGCCAACGAGAGGGACTGAGATGGCACGGTGGCTTCCGAAGGTCCTTCTGCCTGAGCCCAAGCAGAGGGCCAGGACCCACTGGGACTACACAAGGGTAAGGGCGGGAGACATCTTATTCAGTTTTGTCTGGAGTTGGGGGGTTGAGTCCCCTGTGATCATGGGTGACCCCCGTCAGCCCTGGGTTTTCTGGGCAGGAGCTCCCCTCGGGTCCCCTTGATCACATGGTGTTTGGGACCTGTCTGACCCAGATGCGCCACAGTGGGCTCAGCCGTTGTCTGACCCGCCCCTCTCCTCGGGAGCCCCATCCTGGGCCCCGCCCCCTTCTTGCTCAGTGCAGGGCCTGGGGAAGGTCTCTGGGTGCAAAGCTGAGCAAATAAACCCGCCCAGGCCCAGAGGGAGTGCAGCCAGGGAGGGCAGGGCTGTGCTATCACCATGTGGAGGTTTCCCCACACTGTGCCTGTGAGCACACGCTGTCCTCGGCCTGCGTAGATTGTGTCTTGAGGGGTAGACATAGCTGTCCACCCCATGCCTGATCTAAAACAGAAAAAAACACCTGCTACATTACCCTTCTTTGCCGGAATCTCCCCCAGGGCTTGATTTCATTGGGAACTGGTGCTGAGGACTCTGCCATGGCCCTGCGGGTGAAAACACAGCTCCTGCCATCACTCCCCAGCCACACTGCCGTCTCCCACCTTCATGGGGTTTGCAGAACCCGGAGCAAGGAGGCCTCAGAGTTCCCTGCAGGCGGCCGCAGCTGTCTGCGCTCCATCAGGACGGTGTGTGCGGGCCAGGGGGAGAGTTCCCGGGGGCTGTGCCCGCCATGCTGACGGCGACCGCTGGGCGATGGTGGCCCAGCAGCCCCAGGGCTGGCCGCCGCAGGGCCTCCCTCTCTGTCTCCCTTCACACTGCGCTGCCCACCTGTCTGTGGTCCAGAAAATACATCTCCACATTGCGTTGCTTGAATTCTTTAACAGGAAATTGTGTGAGTGGGACTGTTTATCCTAGCAGACAGGACAATGGAGATCCTGGGTTAGATTCTCAGTTCTGGATCCTCACTAGCCCCTGGCCAGGCAGGAGACCCCGGTTGCAGGAGCGATGGCACAAATGATAGGGTTCCTGCCACCCATGGGGGAGAGCGGGCTTGGGTTCCTTGATGCTGGCTACAGCCACAGCCCAGCCTCGGTCATGTAGGCGTTTGCAGACACAGCAGTGGATGGGATTTGTGCTTGCTCTCTCTTGCTCTCTCTCTCTCTCTCTCTCTCTGCCTGTGCCTCTCAAATTAAAAAGTGTGTTTGTGGAGGTTTAGTGAAGCAGTTAGATATCTCTTGAGGGGCCGGCATTGTGGCACAGCAGGTTAAGCTGCAGCCTGCGGCACCAGCGTCCCACATGGGCACTAGTTCAAGTCCCAGCTGCCTGACTTCTGAACCAGCTCCCTGCTAATGCACCTGGGAAAGCAGCAGAAGATAGTCCAGTTCCCTGGGCCCCTGCCACCCACATAGGAGACCAGATGGGGCTCCAGGCTTCTGGCTTCAGATCGGTGCAGCCCTGGTATCAGCTCTTTGCATAGTGAACCAGATGATGGAAGGTCTCTCCTCCCCATGTCTATCAAATAAATAAATATTTTTTGAAACATACAGACCCCTGAGTCTCATATTACAGTGCACGTGGGTCTCAGTAGGCTCCCAGTTCCAGCTCCCTGCTGATGCGCACTCTGGGAGCAGTGGGTGATGGTTCAAGCCCTTGGGTCCACACGGGAGCCCCAGATTAAGGTGCAGTCTTCAGGTCTCAACCTGTTACAGCCTCAGCTGTTGCAGGCATTTGGGGAGTGAACCAGCGTAGGGGAGACCTTTTTGTCTGTTTCTGTCTCCCTGCCTTTCAAATAAATAAACACATTTTAAAAGGGTGTTAAACTTCATACAATTCTCTGGACCATCCTTCCTATTCTCCCTCATCTGTGTTTGTAGGAAATGTCCACACGTCACTGGGACTCACTCTTGGCTGATCCATCTTCCACCACGAACTACACACACGCCTCCATTACATTGGTGGACACCTGAGTGGCTTCTAGGTCCTCACTGTTGAAGATCGAGGATGGCGTCTCTGAGGGCACAGGTGCAAGAGCTGCTCACAGGTACAGACGGGGAAGTGCGACTGTGACACCAGCTGTGAGTTCAACACCAGGAACCACCTCTGTGTTGAAGTCAACTCTCTCAACCCCGCCTGGACTACTAAGCTCCAATCTCTCATTATAATAAGACAAACCCAGGCCTCAGGACTTTGTATTTGCCATCCCTTCTACCTGTAGTGTGTTTCATGTGGACTTCCTTTGGCTGGCATTTTTTAAAGATTTTATTTATTTATTTGTCAGATTTACAAACAGTAAGAGAGGGAGAGAGAAAGGTCTTCCTTCATTTGGTTCACACCCCAAATGGCCACCATGGTTGACGCTGTGCCAATCCAAAGTCAGGAGCCAGGTGCTTCTTCCTGGTCTCCCATGTGGGTGCAGGGCCCAAACACTTGGGCCACCCTCCACTGCCCTCCGGGGCCACAGCAGAGAGCTGGACTGGAAGAGGAACAGCTGGGGCTAGAACCCGGCACCCATATGGGATGCTGGCACCACAGGAGGAGGATTAACCAAGTGAGCCATGGCGCTGGCCCTGGCTGGCATTTTTTAAAAATTTAGTTTCAGGCCAGGGTTGTGGCAAGGCAGATTAAGCCACCGACTGACATCCCAGCATCCAATATTTGAGTGCCAGTACCAGACTGAATGATCAGTTTCCAATCCAGCCGCCTGCTAATGTGCTTGGGAATGCAGTAGAAGATGTCCCAAGTGCTTGGGTCCCTGGCCAGGAGACCTGGATGGAATTCCTGGACAAGCCCTGGCGGATGAAGCCATTTTTGGAATGAGCCATCATGGAAGCAGAGAGCTGGGCCTGAAACCAGTACTCATATGGGATGCCGCATTGCTGGCTGCAACTTAAACCACTGCATCACAACAAATAAATCTTTTGAACACTTTTAATTTCAATTTATTGGAAAATCAGAGAGAGAAGGGACTCTCCCTTTGACTGGTTCATTCCCCAAATGGCAGCTACAGCTGGGACTCAGCCAGACCAAAAGCCCAAGCCAGGAACTCAGTAGAGTCTGTGGGTAGCAGGGACCCAAGTCCTCCAGCCGTCCTCTGCTGGCTGCTAAGGTGTGCGCTAGCAGGAAGCTGGATCAGGAGCAGAGTTGGGGCCCACACCCAGGCACTCCTATTTGCAGCGGGGTTGTTGCAAGTGGCACCTTTACTATGCCAAACACCTGCCCCTCCCATAGCTGGCTTTGCCTCTCCTTTACGACTCAACCAAATCCTGAACCCCCAGCCCCAAGGGCACTTTCCCTCGCCTCCCCTCTGAATGACCACCCACTCCCACCCGGGCTCCCACGCTTCCTCTGCTCCACAGCCCCGCCCTCGGGGTGCCCACAGCCTTTGCAGATCAGGGTTGATCTGAGGTTGTCTCCCCGCGGCACTCGGCCAGCAGAAGGAGGAGGACGGTGCTGTGTCAGCCACAGCACTGGAGCAGGGCCTGCTCTGCGTACAGCAGGTGCTCAACCAGATCTTGTCCTTGAGGTGGACACGAATACCGACCCCGGGATAGAGTTGGAAAACTGAGCTGCAGAGAAGAGAAGCCAGGTGCCAAGGTCTCAGAGCTGGGAGGTGGCATGGGCAGAGTCGGAATCCAGGTTGAGGGGTTCCAGCGCCCGTGTTCCTTCCTGGAGGAGGTGGCTTGTTCTGACGCCAACTTTCCATCCTGGTCCTGTTATCAATCAGCCACCTGGTGTCACCTGTGGAGCCACCTGGTTCAGAAAACCCTGGTTCTCTCTGTTGGTTCTCACTCCTCCATCTGCGGGGGGTGGAGGGCTGTGGCCTTGGACATGGGAGAGACCTGGTGTCCCACCACCTGTGCTGGGAAGGGGCCCAGTCCAGCCCCCTGCCTGCTTGCACTATATTAGAGCGCGGGCTCTGTCGCTCGTCCTCTCTCCACACTCGCGATGCTCCGGCTGCTGAGCGCCCTCCTGCTGGTGGCCCTTGGTAAGAACCCAGCCCGGTCTGTGCCCTGCGCTGCCTGGGCCAGGAGCCCTGAGATCTGCTCCCCACCCTGGGCCCGTAGTCCCAGGCCCTGCTTCCATAGGAGGGGTCTCAGCACGTACCTAGGGTATGACAGTGGGGGCTTTAGCTTGGTGCTGGGGAGGAGAGGGAGGGGAAGCAGGGGATGGAGCAGCTCAGGAGGACTGGGAGCAGCACCCAAGGGGGTGGTGGGCATCCTTGGTGGGGGCAGTGATCAAACCTAAGTGGAGAAGAGCCTGGCTCTGTGCTCAGACTGCGAGGGATGGAATTCCCACTCCTCTGATGAATGCTCCAATTCTCCATCCATCACTCTCCCCCACCCAGCGCCATGGCCTGTGCCCAGCCTTATCTCTCTGCCTTGTTACACTGCAGCTCAAGGCCACCTCCTCTGAGCAGCCTCCCCAGACTGACAGTCATGGGAACAGATCACATTTATGGAATCCTTACTAAACGCCAGGCAGAATTCTTAGACATTTCTCTTATACGACATCATGCAATGTTCCTCCCAGCTCCATGAGATCAGTACTATTATTGGCCCCATTTTACTGACCAGCAAAATGACCTAAAAACATTAAAGCAGCTCATCCCAGAACAAGGGACCATGCTGTGTTCTGAACCCAGGAAGTTCTATTTCAAAGCCTCCACTCTGTTAAAAAAAAAAAAGTTATTACTCATGTGTTTTATTGCAGGTAGAGACAGACCGGCAATGATCCCCCTTCCTCTGGTTCACTCTCCAAATTCCTAAGTGAAACCAGTAGGCAGTAGCCAGTGGGTGGCAGGGACCCGAGTCCTTGGGCTGTCACTGCTGCCTGCTGGGTGCCCATGAGCAGGGAGTTGGAACTGGCAACGGAACCAAAACAGAAACCCAGGCCATGGGTGTTCCGTGGAGTTCATTACACAGCACCAGGCCAGCCTCCACTCTCACAGCAGCCATCACCTTGGTGAGGCTCGTGGTCACCAGGCTCTGTTAGAGTCACACTCCGTCCTCCCGTCGACGGAGGTGGGTTTTCATCTCCATCCTGGGGCTCCTGGGACTCTGGAAGCCCCTGCTCTAGTCCCAGTGCTCGCTGTTCCCAGTGGCTGCTGAGGTCAGAGAGGCACAGTGACTCGCATGGGTCACACAGCCTGTCAGTGGCACAGCCTATTCCCTTGGGATCCATCTGGCTAAGTGATGCCTGTCCTCTCCTCTCCTCTCCTCTCCAGCCTCAGCCTCTGGCCAACCTTCCTTCCGCCTGTCCATCCGGGTTGTCAATGGCACCGAGGTAGACCCCCACAGCAAGCCCTGGCAGGTAAGAACAACACGAACTGCACGGACCCCCACCCTGGGCTCTGGACGCCAAGTCTGACTGCAAGGCCTCCAGTCCTGACCCCAGGGATCCCTCTCCAGCCTCCACTTCAGCGTCCCAAGGCCGGGAACCCTGGAACAGTCTGCGTCATGTACAGGTCTTCAGGTCCTACCTACAGCCCTCACTGGGCTGTCTACGAATGAAACTCAATCTGGGGCCAGGGGAGGGTTTCACTTGGGGTGGTGCAGCCTGCAGGGCTGAGGTGCAGAACAGGGAGGGGTCTGAGAGGACAGAGGGTCTTGGGGGCTCTCAGGAGACAGAGGTTCAGGGAGGCCCTAGAGGACAGAAAATGTTGGAGTCTCCAGGAGATCACAGGGCCTGGGGTAGGGGACTGGAGAGCCACAGTGACCCCAGTGGAGAAGTGACAGGGCCACCAGGAGCAGTGGTGCAGGTCGCACACTGCACATTGCAGAGCCAGCTCCTGTTTCCTGTGTGAATGGCACCCTCTTGATTGTGCAGTGCACAACCTACACAGCTCACTCACTGTGGGTCTGGCCCTCTCAGTGTGGTTTTTTTTTGTTTTTTGTTTTTTGTTTTTTGTTTTTTTTTTTTTTTTGACAGGCAGAGTGGACAGTGAGAGAGAGAGACAGAGAGAAAGGTCTTCCTTTTGCCGTTGGTTCACCCTCCAATGGCCGCCACAGCCGGCGCACTGCAGCCGGCGCAACGCGCTGATCCGATGGCAGGAGCCAGGTGCTTCTCCTGGTCTCCCATGGGGTGCAGGGCCCAAGCACTTGGGCCTTCCTCCACTGCACTCCCGGGCCTCAGCAGAGAGCTGGCCTGGAAGAGGGGCAACCGGGACAGAATCCGGCACCCCGACCGGGACTAGAACCCGGTGTGCCGGCGCCGCAAGGCGGAGGATTAGCCTATTGAGCCACAGCGCTGGCCTCTCAGCGTGTTTCTTTCTGGGTCTGCAGGCCATGGTGCTGTATGAGGAGGACGGGGCCCTGTACTTCATCTGTGGCGGGACCCTCATCGACCCTCTCTGGGTTATGACTGCCGGCCACTGCTTCCCGTGAGTTCCCCTGCTGCCCCTGTCTTGCCCTGCTACTTGTCCCTGTGGGAGACCCAGGCAGCTTGGGTCACTTGCTGGCTATGGGAAGTGGGCGTCAGGCCCAGACTGACCTCCCCTCCCCTGGCAGCTACACCGGGAACTACTGGGTGCTGCTGGGCGCGCATGACATAACTAACCTAGGGGACGAGGAGCAGATCATCCCCGGGGAGAAGATCATCGTGCACCCAGACTATGATGACAACGATGTATCCAAGGGGTGAGTGAGCTCCCAGCCGGGGCCTGGGCTCCTGTGCTCATCCCTCCGTGACCCCCAGCTGCATCTAGGGGACTCCAGGGACAGCTGGGAGGGTGGGCATCCCAGACCCAGGCCCCAACACTGAGCAGAGCCTCAGAGACCCTCAGCACAAACCTCCTTCCATGCAGGGGGTCACCAGGGCCAGGGAGAGGCAGGAAGCCCCCCACCGCTGCTGGGCTCCATGGCTCTGCAGCCCAGGAACCCTCAAGCACCTGCCCCAAGTCCAAGGTTTCCTGTGGTCAGCAGAGGTCCATCCGGCACAGCTGGGTTCCCGGCCCTGGGGATGAAGGAGGAGCACTGGGTGGAGAGTCAGGCCCCAGCAGTCACTCCCTGCATGGCCTGGGCTTCAGTTTCCCCTTGGTCAGAGGGTGACCTGCAGCAGGGCTTCCTGGTGGTGGTGACGGGCGGGGAGGCCCCGCTCAGCCTCACCTGTGTGCTCACCTGTGTGTCCAGGTGGCTCTGCCTTTTCTGTGAGAGGAGCACAGGAGGGGGCGGAACCCTGGGAACCACAGTGCAGGAGGGAGGGGCCACTGTGATGGAGACCCCGGCCCGTCCTGGCAGGGCTCCTGGGGCCTAGGGAGACCAGGGAGACCCAGGCGAAATGTCCTAAGAGACAGTAGTGCTGTGGTTCCCGAGTTGTGGTCTTGGGGCAGCGGCACCAGCATCCGCTGGGACCCTGATAGAATGTCAGACCTCAGGCCTCAGACAGACCATGGACTCAGAAAGCCTCGGGCGGGCCCAAAAATTTGTGTGGATTTAAAATTGTTTTTACTAATTTATTTTCTGAAAAGCGAAAGTGGGGGGCGAGAGGGGAAGAGGGAGAAAGAAAGAGAGAGATCTTCCATCTATCTACTGGTTCCCTTCCCAAATGCCTGCTACAGCCATTGCTGGGTTAAGCAAACACAGGAGACAGGAACTCTATTCGTCTCTCCCACCTGGTGGCTGAAATCCAAGCACCTGACCACCACCTGCTAAGCCAGGGTGCACGTGGGCAGGAGGCTGGAATGGAGCCGAGCCTGGACAGGAACCCAGGCACTGTGTGTGGGTGCAGCCGCTTAAGCCCTGTGCCGAGTGCCCGCCCCACACTGTGCTCACGGTCCCCCAGGGCGTCCTGATGCACCTGCAGTATGAAGGGCACAGGTGGACACAAGGACAACTATGAAGGCCAAGGGCTGGCGGGGGCCAGGAGGCCTGGGCTGGGAAGTCTACTCTGCCTTGAGTAGACAAAGGGGGGGACAAAGGAGCCTCGGGACCCCAGAGGTGAACCCCTGGAGCAAATGCCAGGGTGGACCTGGTCCAATTGGAGCTCCAGGCTCTGTGTGACTCTTCCCTCCCACAGCAATGACATCGCCCTCATCAAGCTGTCACGCAGCGCCGAGGTAACACCCGAAGTCCAGCCCGCCTGCCTTGCCCCCCGTGACTACATCCTGCCCCACGGGACGGAATGCTACATCACTGGCTGGGGCACCACCTCCAGTACGTGCTGACCGGGACAGGGGCAGAGAGACAGGGCCTGGGGGACAAGGCCAGGGTTGTATAGGTTCAAATAATGCAGGGCCCTGGAATTGGTGGGAGGACAGCGCCCTTCTGGTCAGGAGCGCAGTGTGCCTCAAATGTCCCACCTCTGGGAAAGTAACCCTGCCCCAGCCCCCACTCATTGCTCTCTGTCCCCACAGCTGGAGGGTCAGTCTCAAATGTTCTACTGAAGGGGCTGCTGCCCGTGGTGGACTATGAACACTGCTCCCAGTCCGACTGGTGGGGCTCCACTGTGAAGGAGACCATGGTGTGTGCCGGCGGCGAAAACGTCGCTGGCTGCAACGTGAGTCAGCCCACACCTGCTCTGGGTGGGCAGGGTCCTGGGGCCCCTCTACCATCTCTATGGAGGTGGGGGAGAGGTCTATCCTGCTGCTTCCTGGGAGGGTCCAGGCCAGGCAGGAGGTGGAAGAAAGTCAGCGCCGTGTAGACAACCCTGACCCTGGCCCCGGCCCCTGGCTCACCTGACCTGGGGCAGCCACCGTCCCTCATGGTGCTCAGGCGGCCCTGGCAGCACAGCATGGGGCACTGGCACCAGGACCTCCCAAGTCACCCACTCTGTGTTCTGAAGGGACCCTGAGCCCCTGTGTCAGAGGCGCGCGTGAGCGTCACGTCCATGAGTGACTGCGCCACCGGCAGTGGGAGCCGGCGTCTCCCGGGGCTTCCTCTCTGCAGGTCTGGGGCTGAGGTCAGCTCTGTCCCAGCTCATCCCCAGCAGCTCCTGTGGGACAGACCCTGCTCCCGGCTCAGAGCAGGCCCTGAGGCCCGGAGGTCAACACTGAGGGTGTGGTTTGCAGTCCCCAGTTCAGGTTCCATTCCTGACCCTCGGACGTGGCTCAGCCCTGTCCCCTCTGACTGCTGCAGGGTGACTCTGGGGGACCCCTCGTCTGCCGCATAGGAAAAGGCTGTTGCAAAGTCTATGGCGTGGCCAGCTTTGTCTCCGCCGATGGCTGTGACACCCCCAAGAAACCCACGGTGTTCACCCGAGTGTCGGCCTTCATTGACTGGATTATTGGGGTGAGGACAGGGCAGCAGGGAGGGCTGCGGATGAGGGCTGTCCTGAGAGGGGCTGGGGCACAGGGAGGAGGGGCACATCCTGGGAGGGGCTGCAGGGGTCCCGGGAGGGCAGGGGGGTGGGGCCTTGGGGACATGGCAGAGGGCAGGGGATGAGCTCTGCCCTGCATGGTCCCAGGAATCAGCAGGCTCTGGGTGGAGTTTGCACCTCCTGACTCAGGAGGGCTTCTCAGGGGTGTGCTCTGGTCAGGTCCTTACTTGTCACAGAGCACAGAGGGCCACGGCGCCCCCTGCTGGGGGAGACTGAAGTGAGCCATAATGGTGAAGGCTGTGAGAGCCAGGGGAAGCTGAGCCCCTTAGTGTCATCTGGGGACAGCTGGTCAGAGAGGGTCAGTGTTGTCCATGGTGACCGCAGTGAGCACCGTATAGACTGGGAGGATGAGCACCAGGACTGGGCTGGGGCCTTGGTGATGGTTGAATCAGGACCCCACAGGGTGAGTGCTGGGATCACCACTCCCATTAGAGAAGGCAAGTGACTCCCCCAGGGCCACATGGAGAGTAAGTGGGGGCTGGGAGCTACCCCAGTTCCACGGACTCGAGATCCTGCCACCCTCACTCCACTCTTCTGTCTTTTCCCAGACCATTGCAAACAACTAGCACCAAGGCCCGGCTACCCGTGCTGACCCCCGTCCTATGTAAAGAATAAAGTGCTCTCTCAAGTCCCGAGTGGATCTGTGTCCGTCAGTGACTTCCCCCTGGCCGGGTCCTAAACCTGAGAGCTGATTTGCAGAGGAGACCAGAGCCCCCTCTCCTGGGAGGACCAGGACCGCAGGAGAGAATTTGGAATCCTGATGGGAGAACAACCCTCTTGTTTGTCCTCGGCTGGGGGTTCTCATTGTGGAAACTGAGGCAGGAAAGCTGGGACAAGGAGGTCACCCCAGCACAGAGTCTCACAGAGAGCAGTGGCTTCTCCATGCAGACCTAACACAGTGACACCTGTGGGAGACTGAGCCTGCGCCCTCTTGCCTTGTGGTAGACTGGAAGGACCGGGGATTTTCTGCTTTCATTGAGTGGGAGGAGAATGAGGCTTTGGTCATTCACTCATTCAGTATCATTCATTCCTTACTTCAGAGGCCGGCTCTGAGAGGGAGGGGCATGTGGATGTTTCTCTAAAGTTGTTGATTATTAAACAGAAGCGAGCAGTCAGGGGCATTCAGTGAACACTGACTGCCTGCCTGGCAATGACAGGCTCAGGGCTGGGTGTCCACGGGGGAGTGGGACTATCCTAGTGAGAGCCCTGGCTGCAGGGCGAGGAAACACCCACACAGGGACAGGGATTCGGGCCCAACAAGCAGTCCTGGAGGTCAGAGCGCCCTCTGCTGTGCAGGCGGAAGAAACACACACGGCCCAGTCCCTGCAGCTCCTGTTCCTCCTGAGCTCCCAGAATGAAGAATGAAGCTCCCCAGCAAGGACACGGTCAGTCCCTGTCAGTGTGAGCGTGTTCCCTTCCTCTAACGGGTACACTCTTGCATCCAGTGTTTGGTGAAGCAGGTTACGCCACGGCTTGCAGCACTGAGCTCCCAAATAGGCACCAGTTTGCATCCTGGCTACTCCGCGTCAGATCCATTTCCCTTTTAATGGGCCTGGGAAACAGGGGTAAATGGCACAGGTTCACGGCCCTGTCAGCCATGTGAGAGACCAGTGTGGAGTGCGAGTCTCCTGGCTTCTGCGCTGGACAGCCCTGGCTGTTGTGGTCTTATGGGGAGGCACTAATGGATGGAATATCCTCTCTCTCTCTCTCTCTCCCTCCCCCCTCATCTTTTACCCCTCTTCTGTCATTGTTTTGCAAGTCAATAAATTAATCTTTAATAAGAACAACTGTCTATCACTCTGTAGCTGTATCTATATCTATCTATATGTGTATATATACTATTTTCAGAGGAACTGGTGTTTGATCCCGTGAGTAATACACCCGTGTCCTACACTGTAGTTAGTGCCTGGGTTCCGCATGATGGGGAGAACATGTGGGGCTTCTGGAACCAAACAGACACTGCTCTCTCCGACCGAGGCAGACACACAGGACTGGTGACCAGTAACCGGCAAGCGTGGCCAAGCCAGAGCAGGGCTGTGAAGGCTCAGGGTCCCCTTCCTCCTGAGGGTCGGAGAAGGGCCCTTGGAGGATTTTCCAAAACAGCTTCAGGATGAAGGGCAGGGAGCTGTGGTGGGCAGGGGCGGGCCCTCCAGGGGACCTGGGTTCAGCCTCAGGGGAGGGCGGGGAACTGCTGTGACCCCTTCTCACCACACATGGGCAGCAGAGAGTCAGGAAACCTTGGCCAAAAACTGCCAAGGATTTGACACACATCACTTTTCCTTTTAAAAATTCTTCAAGGGGCCGGCATTGTGGCATAGTGGGTAAAGCCGCTGCCTGCGATGCCTGCATCCCGTGTTGGCCTCGGTTCAAGTCCTAGCTGCTCCACTTCCGATCCAGCTCCCTGGAAGCTGGATAGGAAGCAGCAGAAGATGGCCCAGGTCCTTAGTACCCTGCACCCATGTGGGAGACCTGGAAGAAGCACCTGGCTCCTAGCTTTCATGTGGCCCGGACCTAGACATTGTGGCCATTTGGAGAGTGAACCAGAAGATGGAATATTTCTCTTTCTCTTTTTCCTCCCTCTTTCTGTAAGTTTCTCTTTCAAATAGATAAAATAATTTCAATAAAACATTTTAAGTCTCATGAATTCAAATCTTTTAAATAACATCTAGTTAATAACTTAGTTTTCTGGGTACGGCATTTGGGCACAGTGAATTAAGCCACCTGCTGTGGATCAAGTATCCATTGTTCAAGGTCTCCACTCAGCAGCTGCAGACTCGCTAGGAAAACCAAGCCGGATCTTGTTCTCTGGTTGAAAACACTACCAGGGCTCCCTGTGGGCCTGGGCGCCTGCCCTTCAGGGGTCTCTGCCCCGTCTCTGCCCCACCTCCACAGAAGCCCCAGCCCTAGGAGTGCCCCTCACTGGGTTGTGCATGGGCAGGAGCAGGTTGGATTAACAGGTGCCCAGATCAGCAGGTTGGGGGGGGGGGGGTGAAAGAGGAAGAGGTGAGCCAGAGCGGAGCCGCAGGCCCAGCGTGGGGTTGGGATTGAAGGGGAACAAACTTCTCTCTACGGATGCACTGTGATTGGGTGTCTGCGACCTCAGCCACACCTGTGTCATCAGTCAGGACCTGGAGGGAACAGACGTCAGCGTGGAGGGGAACTGGGGAATATCTGATAAAATGGGACACAGCAGGGGAAACTCAAAGGGATGGCGACCTCTGGGTCCAACAGCAGAGCTGAGGCCGCCCTCGGCCTGGAGGGACCTCGGAGGAAGCAGTCACAGGAGCCCGGGGGAAGGGCGCTGGGTAGCAGTGAGGCCTGTGGGGGAGGAGCGCACCTGCTGCACACCTGGGGCCTGCAGGGAGGCAGCTGTGGAGCAGGGACCCCGTGTGTGATCCGCAGTGAACGTTGGCTTGTTAAAGCCTCTGAGAAGTCCTGTGGGCAGAAACGATTTGAACTATGTTTGAATTAATGTTTCCCAGTTTCTTCTGACCTTTCATTCTTTTTCTCTTTATAAGATTTTATTTATTTATTTGAGAGGTAGAGCTACAGTGAGAGGGAGAGACAGAGAGAACTGTCCTCCGTCTGCCGGCCCACTCCCCAAATGGCCGCAATGGCTGGAGCCACGATGATCCGAAGCCAGAAGCCAGGAGCCAGGATCCCCTCCGGGTTCCCCACGCGGGTGCAAGCGGCCCAAGGACCTGGCCCATCCTCCACCACTTTCCCAGGCCACAGCAGAGAGCCAGATGGGAAGAGGAGCAGCCAGGTCTACAACTGGCATCCATATGGGATGCCGGCGCCGCAGGCAGAGGATTAACCTACTGGGCCACAACGCCGGGCCCCTGACCTTTGATTCTGTACTGAGAGTCCCCAGTGTCCTGTTCTGGGAGAGGAGGCCCCTGCAGCGGACAGAGCAGACAGAACCCAGCTCAATGGGACGCCCCCTCCTGGGGAACGCTGCTGTCCAGGCCCCACCACAGGCAGTGCTCCTGCTGCTGAGCCTGTCGGGGACACACGGGGCCTCCAGAGTAGGACAGGGAACAGATTTTGAATTCTAGTCGAGTGATCTTACATGTAAACGACTAAACCCATACCTGTAAGATTGGAGCTGCTCCGGAGCCGAGCGCTGACTCCCTACCCCAGAAGTTTTCTCTGTATTCCCAATCGGGAGAGATGGTTGGTCTGTGATTAGCGAGAGCCTCATTGTACAGAGAGGGAAACCGTGGCTGAGGAAGAGGTGCAGGCCAGAACACAGGTGCAGGAGTGAGGAGGGTGTGCAGGTGGCTCTGGTAGGTAGGGAGAGGGCCAGGGCAAGCAGCCCAGGTTCCGGAACCAACAGGTGAGGATCCTGTAGGAGGATACGGCCCAGCAGTCCAGCAGTGGCACTGTGGACACAAGGCACATCTTCCCTTCCCCAAGGACATCAGCTCTGGGGTAATCACCCAGCAATGGGGCTCTGCAATGTATCCCCTAATCCTGACACCCACCTCACCTGAGAGGCTGGGAGTGAGGACCGGGGGAGGAGCCATAAAGTGCCTCTCCCTAAGGGCCCCTTCCCCTTCAGGGTGAAGAGGACGTGGGTGTAACATCATAGTGGGCTTCTCTTTGCTTCCTCCCCTGGCTGTGCCATTTAACCTTGTGCCCAGCTCCACCGTACAGTGTGTCTTACAGCTTCCGTTCTTCGCCACCAGGCTCCAGTGCCCAGTCACAGTCCAGGGAACTCCTGGGAAGAGGCATACAGGGCTAAGATTTTACCCCCTAGACGAGTAGTGTCGAATCCCCATGGACTGTGACCACTGCTGCCTGGGCCACAAGGTGGGCACTACCTAACAGACCAAGCCCACTGCTTCATCTGGAGACTGCAGAGGGCGCCATGCAGGTCTGGCCCCTCCAGGCAGAAGCCAGCCAGCCCTCACTTTTTCTGCCTTCAAGGGTAGAAAACAGTGCAACCTCGGGGTGAGTGCTGACTCAGCTGCAGGCCAAGCTCCTAAAGAATCCCAGTGCTCGCTTCATCTCTGCCCTGGTTGCGGTTGTGCAAACTGCGGCTCAGAAATGAAAAAGCCCAGGCCGTCCCCAAAGCTCTGAACAGTCAGAAGGACCGAAGACTGGGACAGCCAAAGCACCACCAGGCTGAGAACCTGCGGCTCACCTGGTCACCCTGTGGTGTGTTTGGTACAGCCTGGAGTCTGACAACCGGAACAGAGAGAAGCTTTGATCTTCACACCTGGCGTGGGTGCTGCTGTCCCTTAGGGTCATCTGCAGGAGCAAAGAAAGCACTAGGTGCACAGAGAGGGTTCCAAGGTGGGTGCGCTCTCTCCCAGCACGCCATTGTACATCCCACCCTCTGCTCAGGACCACTGATGCTTAGCCAAGGGTGTGCACCAAAATCAGGCAAGTCCTGTGCCCCACGGTTCTCCTCTTTTTATTATCTATGTAGCACTCATGCAAAAAAAAAAAATTCTCCCTGAAGCAGCACTGTCAAATCTGAGCAGCAATCCACATCTCCATCTGCCTCTCTCTGGGGAAAACCCCAACTCCAAGGAGGCAACATCCTGTGGACAGTCCAACACAACAGCATTCCACAAGCAGCTGCCTCACTGTCTAACCACTACCCGACCTCAATACAACAAACTGTACATGAATATTAAAAAAAAAAAGC